TTACAAAACCTGTGATTTTCCGGAACTAAAAAACCGGATTTTTTCCTGATTTTTGTCTTTTATTTTTTTTTACAGGGGCATGTTTACAAGTGCCACGGTAATTTCTCGAATCAACAATAGTACATGTAGTAACGGGTGAGCAAACGATCAAGCAACGTTGTTGTAGATTTTAACTATCGCTATCGCTATTGTTTCACCGAAAAACAAATTTTCTAAAAACGTATTCTTTAACACCATTAACACAATGTATGCTCTATGCATCATACATGTAATTAACTAGAATTTCAATGATTCGACTTATTTTGTACATGTACATGTACTTTGCATTCGTGTCAATGGGTTCTCAAGAAATTCCGTACTCAATAAAAGATTTCAAAATAACCTTTTTTTTCTATTTAGACTTTTTATCGTATCGTAACGGTAATTATTATTATATCAGCAAGAAGCCATGTATCTCGGGAGGCTTAATTTGGGACGAGTGAAGAAAATCTTTTGAGATAATCTGTTTTTATCGTTATCGTTATTGTCGATACGTATTTTGCATAAAATATTACGTAGCATTCCTCTATGAAAAACCCAGTTTTATTTCATACCAAATATAGACGAAATTCATAACACGGATTCTGCTTGACAAGTATTCTAAATTAAGCTCTTGCTAAACAATCAAAACGAACCGATTCACGTTCTCTCTTCAGTCTTTGAGAGTCAATGCAAATGAAGATTGGTTTTCATAGTAAATGTATTACGTACACAAATCCACCATAAAGTGCAATATCTCAAATTTTATTATATAAATTGGTTGTCTACTTTTATAAAAACTCATTTTTGAAAAAAAATTGTTTACTTAGTTTCTACTGACTCGCCCCAAATATCAAATTTTTAAAATGAATAATCTCAAAGCAATAATAATAATTGTGCTAATATCGATATACACTTCTAATGTTTTAGCCCAACAATCGTATGTATGACTAAAATACATGTACATGTATAACAATGATCGTTAAATTTATTTTTTTTAACTTTAATTTTTAAATTATCGTATTGTTTAGTGCCGCAACAACGACGACGTCGACTATTAAAGGTGTGAGTGGCAGCAGTGCACCGATTACTACACTACCTTCAATAACATCAACTGCAAAACCATCGTCAGCAACACCAACCTCGGTAAAACCCATAACAACAGTAACACTACCATTAACATCGGTAAAACCACCATCGCCACCACCACCGCCAGTATTTACATCGGTAAAACAGACATATACAAATCCGAACACAGGCAACAGTCCTACCATTGCTCCAAAACCTATTTCATCAACTATTATTCTTCCGAGTTTCCCGCCGACATATACAAATCCGAACGCAGGCAACAGTCCTACCATTGCTCCAAAACCTATTTCATCAACTATTATTCTTCCAAATTTCCTGCCTCCTGGAAATAATCCACCTGCAACAGTAAGTACTAAAAATACAATTACAGTTACTTATCAATCCGTTCAGCAAACTATTAGGACTGAGAGTAAAAATAACGAATCAAATTCTCAGGAAAAACCACAAAATGAAATGCCTACACAAACAACTACTACTGAGAGTAATTTGCCTACTTCGCAGGGAATTCAAACTTCTATTAGATCTTCACCTAATTCCAGCACAAAATATCTTACATCCACTTTGGCAACTTCCGCCACAAAATTAATTACTACCACTTTGGAGAATTCTTCCGTAAAAATAATCACTACCGTTGTGTCGTCATCTACAGTAGTAGTTACTACTTCAATTGTGTCTGATATTTTTTCAAGTGCTAATTCATTTCTGCTCATTGATACGATTTTTGAAAGGATAATAATGACTTCAATTTTCTCTTTTGGTTTAAGTTTAATTTTTATTCGATGAAAAATTAGTTTTGATATACCAGCAAGATTAAATACTATAAATTATATCTATAAATAAAGTTATAGTTCAAATTCAGAGCTAAAATCAGTATGCTAATCTCGAATTGAACTCGTAATAACAGTTCAGTTCAATTCAAAACTTTGAACCTTTCTTGAACTCAGTTCAAGTTCAGTTTGAATTTTGAACCAGATTCAAGCTCAAGCAAAAGTCTAGTTCAGTTCAGTTCATAGGAACACTAGCAAGAAACCAAGAAAATGATCAAATAATTGAAAAAGGAAAAAGATAAAAAACTTTTATCAAAAGTTCTTGATGTAAATATTTTTGTTTATTATGTGAGCTAAATTGATTTTCATCAATCTTGTATTAATAGAAAGTATTCAGTAATATTACAAAGGAGCTTTTCCTCTCAAAATATATCTAATACTAGATAAATTAAAGAGTGTTAAGAACATATTTAAATAAAGAGCATTCTGAATATATAAAGAATATGTCTAACAATAAATTCATTAATAATTTTATATAATTTTAATAAGTTCATTAAATCAATATTACTTTAAAGCAATTACTATTAGAAATTAATACAAATTATCAATTTTATAGCTTTTACAAAAAAATAAAAAATCAATAAGATATTATATATACTAATATAAAATGTGATATTCAGAATATTTGGAATAAAGTAGTTATTATTATTAAAAAATAAATATAGAATAATAAATATATGAAAGAGAAAAGAAATCCAAAAGTAAAATATAACTTTAATTTATTTTTTGAGTAATATTCAAATCTAATTTAATTTTTAAAATAATTAAAAGTTTTATCACTAATTAATATATAATATTTATATATATTATTAATATATATAATATTTATATATATTATTAGTATATAATATTTATATAATATTATTAATATATAAAATTATATTTAATTCTTACTCAAGAAAAATTATAGTTAAAAAAATAATTAAAAAAATATATTATAAGATTTTGCTAATAATTAATATATAATTTTATTAATAATATTAGTTCAAATTAATTTTGTTTGATTAATATTAGATAAAAAATCAAATAATAAATTATTTAAATCTAATAATAAATAATTTAATATATTTTAGCAATTAAAAATAATATAAAGATATTAAAATTTATTAATAAAATATAATAAAATATAATAAAATACAAATTTTCTCTTTATATAAAAATTTTCAATTTTATTAATAAATATTTTTTATTTTTATATTAAAAAAAATAATATTACATATTTTAATATATATATTTTTCAAATTTTTAAAATTAATCTGATAAAGTTGTTCTAATCACATAGAAATTTAATTATTTTTTTATAAATAAAATATATAAAAAAACTATTAACTTTATATTATTACCATTTTAATAGAGTTTTAAAATACTTAAGGATATTTATGATATTCAAAAGAGAAACTTGAATATTTTAATAACAATTCATAGTTTTAATAATACTTTATGACTTTAAACTGAATATAAATTAAAGTATAATAAGTATAATAAGTACTTATAAGAATTATTCAAAGATTGGTAATAATTATGTTCTTTTAATGCAATAATTAGACTGCTAAAGAGAGTTCTCAAAATTTCAATGTCAAATATAATATACATATTAAAAATATTTTAAATCTTTAAAAATCAAATATAAAATATGATATTCATATTATCAGCAATATGAGATTAAAGATAAATATATGAACAATATATTATTAGCAATACAAAGTCAAAGGTAAGTTTATAAGCAATATATTATTAGTAATATAATCTCAAGGACAAATTTATGAATTATAATAATAATTTTTTTATTTAATATAATATTCAATAAACTTTGTTACAATGTGTTCAGAAAGTCTAGGATAAAGATAATAACTTTTATAGTACTCCTGGTAATTTTGCTTAAGCTACTATAATATATATTAATTCAAGATCTGTATAACTTCTTATAAAGCTATTATACAAGAAAATGAATACTTTGTTAAAAAAGTGTAGAAAGAAGTTTGCACTTGACTATCTACTTTATATAAAGTGTAAACTTTACTTTTTTGAATGATTAAAATTATGTGATAACTAATTAGATGTGATAATTGAGAATTACTATCTAAAAGAACTTGTTTATATCTAATTCTAACAACTATAATATATGTTGCTTTTATACAAATTCAAGATATAATTTATCAGCTATACGAATTCATATTCATTATATCACTTAAATTTTATTGGTCCAATATTTGTTCACTTATTTGTTCGCTTATTCGTTTAATTATTCATTTATTTATTCACTCATTCACTTATTTGCTTATTTACTTGTTCACTCACTTCACGTAATTTGACTTTTATCCAATAAGATATGAAATATGTATAATCCAATAATATAAAATATTATGATAAAAGATCATTATATAATATATGCAATTAAAATAATTTTATCAGATTATATCTAAAAAATCTGACAAAAATATATGTTAAAATATATAATATTATTTTTATTTTAATATAAATAAAAAATATTTATTAGTAAAATTAAAAATATTAATATAAAGTGTAAAATTTATATTTTATTATATTTAATTAATAAATTTTTATGTTGTATTATTTTAATTAGTATTATATATATATTTTTATAATAAATTATTGAAAATCCAAAAAAATATAATAAAAATTAAAATTTTCTTATCACAATAAAATTTTTATTTTTATTAATAAATATTTTTTGTTTTTATATTAAAATAAAACTAAAAAACTATATTTTAATATATATATTATTACAATAAATTTTTTCTGCTTAATATTAATTATTTTAATAATTTAAATTTTTAACTTATATTTAAAAAAATTATATATATATACACTATATTATCAGAAATTGAAAAAAAATATAAAAAAATATATTAAAATTAATATTGTTTCTTTATATTAAAATTTGTTATTTTATTAATAAATATTTTTTGTTTTTATACTAAAATAAAGATAATAATTTATATTTTAGTATAAGAATAAAAAATATTTATTAATAAAATAACAAATTTTAATATAAAGAAACAATATTAATTTTGCTATTTTTTTTAATTTCCAATAATATAATATAGAAGTGTGTGTATATAAATAAGGATAAAAATTAAATAAAATAAAAGAATTGAATATATAATTATATTGATTCAAATTTAAGAATCATAAATTAATATAATATATTTTTTTCTTGAACTTTAATAACTATATTTATATAATTAGATAGACTTAAAATTAAATTATATAAGATTCTTAGATTGATACTTATTTCTCTTATAATATATTAATTAATTCTTGGTTTAATATGAACAAAGGTATTTTTCTTCGAATTTAGCAGTCCAAAATATTTTAAAGATGTTCAATTGAATTAAGATTAGAACTTTAACCAATTCAATTTAAAAGTTGAATATTATATATTGATAATTACCAAGTTATATATATTAAAATATAACACAATGCTCTATTTTATTATAATTTTTTCTACTAATACCAAAAAAAAACAGGTGATCGGTATAATTGTAGGGTTATTGAAAGATAGAGTAACCGCATGTGATGAGCCCGGATCTAAGAAGAGACGCGTTCAAGAAAAAATTACTAGAAAATGATGAGCAGATAGTTTACCTGCCACATGTATTTTAAGTGTCGAAGACACTAACTCCGCTATATTGTATTAAGAAAGCAATCAGACGTTTTTTCTCTGATAATTGTTTTTGTACGTGATAGTAGGGGTGTCCCTCCGAATTTATTTAATTTTTTTTGACAAAGTGATCTGCGTTACGAAAAGTAACGCGCACGTGATTTTTGATCGTGAAGAATCTCGTAGTTAGCAGTATTAGCGATAGCTGTAGAAATTTACCATAAATGTAGGAGTATGCATCGAAAAAACAAATTTGTATTTATGCTAAATTCAGATGATATGATGACTTTATTATGCAAAATAAAATTTTTACATACATAAAAAATTATACTTTACAATATTAATCTATTACTTCTGATACTTCCAATAAAGCAAATTCCTTCTTATTGTATTTATCAGTAATCATTTTTCGCTTGGTCTATCCACTAAACCACGATGAGCAAATGTTGGAGAAAGATACTTCTCAATATTTTTCGGATAAATGAGAAGTAGATGAGGCATGTTTTCGATATTAATTTTTCCCGTACATTTCCGGTTTGTGAACAAAACAAGAACCACATCATACTCATTCTCATAATTTCCTACCGATTTCATTGTTTTATCATACCAATCTTTAATGCCCGGTGTTGAAATTGTGGTTGTTGCATCGCGTTCTGAGTACTTAATTTGTGAAAAGATCGCTAATTTCTTTCTATTATTAGCAGAATCAAGAATCCAATGGTGAACAATGTTAGCACATCCTCTGAAACAACAGAATATACCTTCATCAAGCCTGCGGGTTACATTATCATTGCATGTCACTGAATTATTAAAAGTTGCAACATCTTCTATTTTCTCAAGAAATTTCTTGTTCTCAATAAATACTCTGAGTCTGTGCAATCGTACTTTGCGTTGGAGAAGCGTGTCAGCACCTAAAGCGCCACGAAATGCATCAGATAGTTGCCAATTATTCTTTTTTTTTTGGCGGTCAAGTTCTTGATTTTGCAAACTGATTTCATCTTCAATTATGATTTTTTCGTAATTATCCTCTTGTTCTTCCAAATCTTTTTGAAGTTGCCGAATTTCATGCTCAATATTCTTAATCGTTGATTCTTGAACGTAGATTAAACTATCAATAAGAGCTTTTTGGAAATGCCCATATAAAAGTTCAAAATTTTGCCACTGCCAAGGAGTTTCATGTGTTGGGATAAAGAGAAGATTATCCTGAAATACAAGTTCTATATCTTCTACATTAGATGTTAGGAGCTTGTTATTGAGTACTTTCAATAGCATAAAGGGCATAACGATAGTATACCATTCATCATTAGTGTTAGAAAAATAGATCAAACCAGATCGCTCAAGTTCACCGATGGATGTGCCACTAGTTAATCGAAAATCTCGCTTAATAAGTTGCCTGGTAAGCCCAAATGATATTACGGTGCGTATTTCTTCTAAGTTCCTCCAATACCTGGACCTTTTCCAACTGTAGTAATATTCCGGCTAGATACTTTATTAAAAAGTTGATTCCCCCAATCAAAATTTGACGTAAGGGTAGGCGGGCTTAAGAGATCATCAATGAACTTCGGAATGAAGCCAGTGTCAGACATGGCAATGCGAAAGTGTTGTTGATTCAGGACAAAGTTACAAAAATCCGCTGAAAGCTTTTCGACATCTTCATTATTAAGATCAGAAGATTGATGTGATTTGAGGCCTTGCACCACTAGATCTCTTCCTTCATCAGTTGTTTGCTTTGAATAATCATATTTGTCAAGGAACATTAACTTTGCATTAACTTTGCTGAGACATAATTCAAAGGCTTGGGTTCCAACATTTTTTGAGTATGCTCTGTAGGTAAAAAAATGAACGTCTATAGCAGATGTTCCCGTACAGATTGGGACGATAAAATATTTTCCACCATACTCATCTTTCATATTATTACCACGCATGACACTACCAATCCCCCTTAGCATTGGTTTAAAGAAATCGCGAGAATTTATCCATGATATTTGTTGGTATTGTTGAACATCATTAATATAAAGTTGATATTCGTCAAGATGGATGATGATAGCCTCAACTGAACGCTGTTGCATTTTAAAACGACGTTGAAGTATCTCACAAATCACGTCAGAAAGTCGGAAGAGTTCTTTATTGTTTGTTTTTAATAGTTCATGTAGACAAGAACACTCGGACACCAACCCTGAAGCCACTGCAACACGCGTTCCTATTCGCACACTTGGATCTTCCACATCATCAAAACCTTTAATATATTTACTTCCATTATTTAAGTCAATAAAGACGTAACAGGGATCTTTTAGAGCCTCCACAAACTCAGCAGTGTCGCTACTTCTTGTTGACAGTATAGAGGGCAGATACTTTGATTCCCAGCCCATCCGTGTCTTTCCTATTCCTATCCCTCCAGGAATTAGGATAAATTTATGATTTTTGTGGTCAGGACTGTTACGACCCTGGTAGTTATAGCGAGCGACTTCCAATATCGAATTTAGAGCCTGATCACGATCGTAAAACTTGTGAGAAGGAATCTTTACGGCAGGAGGTTGCAATATTGACGAAGCAAGGAGAGAAGTCAAGGTTTTTACTAAAAAATGGAAAATGAATTTTAAATAAGAACACGATTACTAGTCAACATCACAACAGAATATATTACGTACGTGTTTGTTTCTCCTTTTTTCGGGTTCCGCTTTCTTCATCTGAGTCCGAGTCTTCGTGTCTTCTTTTCCCTAATCGAATAAAAAAAGATGCGAGTGAGATAACGCGAATTTCTTGTTCAAGAGGTAAACCATTGGGAGACACTTACCAGTGGTGGGCAGTTGTGGTTGCACGATGATGCGGATGTTCTTCAAGTCACAATACGCAAAAATGTCACCAAAATCATTAAATGGAGTCAACTCTTGTCCTTCGAGCTCTTGTATAATAGTATCTTCATTATGAGATCTGCTTTCAAGTGTTCTCAGTTTAACGAATTTATCGTTTTCTGCATCGCCAGGAATATCCACCTTCCATAGGTTCAACTTGTTGGCATCAAAATTTTTGAAATCGTTCTTATTCTTCTCATAGATTACTTCCCTTAGTTTTGAAATACTCATTCCTGCCTGGCCTTCAACTTGAAAGGAGCTCCTAACTTCGGTACCCACCATAAAACAAAATGCCATGATATCGGTGATATACCTGCAAACGCGTAAATCGAGAGTTAAAACGGGGGTTTAAAACAGATTTTCCAGTAAGTACAAATAAAGACCTTGTTAAAGAACTGCCTTTCTTTCCATTCATTTTTGTATATAAGTCCAGTCTTCTGTTTACATAATCTTTAATGAAAATACTAAACGTACGAAAACTTACCAAGTTTATACATATTCTAGCTAAAAACAGGTGATCTTCACTACTACGTCACGATTGATTTTGCGACACAGTCGGCATTTTTAAAAAATAAATGCGCAGTACTGTTAATACGCCTGTGCGACATAAGATTTTTTTTCTTACTGCGACCACCGAAACCGTGTATTATTTTCTTCGAGCCAACTCGCAAGCGAATGTCATTTTTCGTAGACTTCTGAGGACCTTTCTAGCATCTCGGAATGCAAACAACATAAATTCCAGCGGGTTTTACTATAACTGATAATACACATTTTTTGTTTTATCCAGTATATTGATGATTGGGACAATGAAACCGAACCATGGAGTGGGATAATGTGTATTAGTAGTGTAGACAAGCAAAAAACTACAGACATTAGTATAGAAACGCCATTTCACTTTGTATGTATTATCGAATCTTGTAATTTATTTTTACATCAATAAATCAGTAATTCCGATGAGGATATTACCTCGTTTTTTTATCTATGCTAATGAACTTTTGAATATATCTGTATTTTATTTAAAAAAATGGCAAATACACAATCTATTGATTCATTAAGAGAATTAAATGCTAATCTCTTAGTTGAGATTGTCGAGCTTAGAAAGGAGAATGCCAAGATTCCTGAACTTAAAAAGAAATTTGTCGAGGTTGAGGCTGAGAATGCGAAGTTGAAGCAAATTATTGAGGAAAATGCGATGCGTAATGCTAGAGTCAAGGAACTAGAACAAAAGAATCCAGAGCTTAAAGCTAGACTTGCGATATTGGAACAGGTCTCCTTGGTTGTGGATGGTCAGAGGCAGAATGGTAAGAAAGCAATACCAGAGATGTGATTATCTATAGATAATTTGATATCAGCTATCAATTTATCCAACTCTGTAGTGGACCAACAAAATAATGCTGACACTAAGTCAACGGAAGGGATACTGTTACAAGTTTGTTTACTAATTGTTAAATTAGCTTACAAACAAGAATCTGGATTGGGAGAGGATATAAACTGATAAAGAAAATATTAAGAGAAAAAAGGGGTATCTAAGGTTTATGCCAATTTCTACGGAAATTGTGTTTACTTGAAAAGAAATAATAATATGGGAGAGTTGTGGAAGAGTAAAGATCAAAGAGAAGAGAGAATAAAGAAATAATAAAGAAGATTCAAAGAGTAATTCTATACTTACATAAAGCTTTCTAGAACTAAAGTAATATGATTAGTAATAACAATAACAAAGACTTTTTCACTTTGTTCTTCTCATGAGTGAGGAATATTCGTTAACAATTAAAAATTCAAAATAACAAAAAGTAAAAATACTTATAATCCAATTTTAATAATTTTCAATATAGCAATTTGTTTAGCACAATACAATATAAAGCTTAATAATCCAATAATAGCGATTTGTTCAGCACAATATGATATAAAGCCCAAAGTCAATAACAGTGATTTGCTTAACACAATATGATATAAAGTCGTTAGCGATTTGATAGGTTCAATATGATATAAGATCACTTATACATAAGATTTAAAGTATATAAAGAAAATATGAGAGGTAGGAAGTATTTGAAGAAAGGTTTTTGTTAAGAGAAATTTTTATTTTCAGTTACAACATGTCAAATTAAGGCTCAGACAGCATCTCTATTTATACATTTTTCGAAATTACAAAAAGTGAAATAAATAATTATAAAAATATATAAAAGTGAAATAA